ACTAAGGAGTGTTCAAGTGAACTATTGAACTGCATCACCTGGTTTAGTTTATTTGAAAGAAACGTCCATACTCGCCCTGCAATGCACACCAGAGCACAGTGAGTCCAGAGACTCACAGCAAAGACACACACCCCATCCAAACAAAAATTAATGTATTTGCCATCTCCTGATAAAAGGGCCATTCAATCTAATTGACACCCATCTACAAAATTCAGGTGCACTACAGCAACAATGAACACTGGTTTTAAACACCATTTCAGTAAATGACAGGTGGTGGATATTTACCCTCAGAAACTCTGCATGGAGAAGATTCTTGAGTACTTGATTAAATCTTTTCTTCTGAGCATTTTCTTCAAGGACTTTCTCTAGGAAGATTCTAATCTCACTTATCTGTGTATTTGCTGGAAGTAGGTTTATCGCCTAGAGCAATAATACACTTCATTAGGAAAAGTTAAAAAGGAACACTGAACAAAATAGAATAGAAATTAGAACATTTAGCTTAACACTGTTACAATCCATCTGCTTGCCTGCTTCAGCACATTCTGTCACCTTTTGCCAACAGTTCCAACTGAGTACTTACAAATCTCTCTTACCTTGGTGGTATCCAGTTTGCTGTGATGTAGTTCTAAAACCTGCAGAGCAGCCTGCAGATTGGCTTGAGGCTCCAGCACTTCCATTTTGATTGGTCCCAGGCAATGAACACTAGGTGGGGAGAGATACATCCGGAGAAGTGACAGATAGACCTGTGGCACAAAAAAACAAAGTTCTGAAACCACTGCATGCACCCACAATTGACAGTGCTGGCAGAACCCAGACAAAGCACTAGAGAGTTGTACCTATGCCATTCAAAATTCTGAGGTGCTCATTTAAAAACAGCTCTTATCCTAAACCAACAAAAACTGACAAGTACCAATGACATTCAAGGCCTTTTAAAACTTTTACTCTACATTCCAGTTTTTCTATAAAAAGTAGTTTTAATTATGCCTCTCTCAATTATCTTGCTTAACTCATAACTCAACCTTCGAAAACCAATACTACATTTTTTTAACCATTAACTTTTCCACAGATGTATGTGGGATAAGCACACAGCATTTTGTCTTAACTCCATCAGAACTTCAGCTACCACACATCTGCTTAATTCCAGTGATATAGTAATTTTCTCAACAAAACAAATTTAAAAAAAAATAAAACTAAAGAAATCCCAATAATCTAGTAATTTCTAAATTCCAAAAGCTTGCATGCAGGTTCCTCTCCATCCACACAAACCCTGAAAAAGTCTTTAAGGGTTTTAAGCCCCTAACATGCTATAAATAGTCTAATACAACCTTACAAAAAGGAAGATTGCAAAGATGACTTACATCTTTGTTGCCATCTTTGTTTCTGTCATAATGTTTATGGCAGTAGCTAGAAGAAAGAAGAATCAAGTTAAATGCAGGGGCAGTTTTGGAACCCAGAGAATCAGTCCACAGAAATTAACATTTAAATGCTTTGATTACTGAAACCATTGAGGTTGGATGACCATACATCTGATCCTGATTAACCAAACTGCACAACAAAATTATACCATTTACAATACTGAGAAAAAGTGAGGTTTTGTGCAAGTTTCCCACTTCCCATCAACATAAGAAGTTTTAATGCAGAAACGAAATATAGCTCAGCTGTGTAAAAAAATTGGGGGAAATAGGCTCTAATCAAGGTATCATAGCAAAAAATGTATGTGTATATATATATCTGTATCTGAATCACAAAGAGATGTTCATCAGTGAACACTGCATATTGCACTTCAATGTCCTGTAACAGGCATTAGCTGAGACTAGCCTTAAAAGAAGCTATGTGTTCAGATACACCTGCCAGACTTTCACTTAAGTACTTTAGATTCACTCAGAAGGTTCCCTGACCTGATGCATCTAGAAAAGTGCCTTATCTTTATTAGAGGCAGCTTAACTGCGTCTGGGTTAGCAAATGTCTCTCCAAAGAGAAAGGAAACAAAACTACATAGAGAAGTTCATAGCTAAGGACAGATGGAAAAAAAACCTCATTGATGAGAGTTATATTGCTCTAAGGTGCATTGACGGAAGAGCATGAAAAGGTAAACCTCAAGGGGATGGCATCATCATCCGTAATGAACAGATACCTGTAAGAGCCTGAAAGTCAAGAAAACACAGAAACTCAGAAGATCCTAAAGGCTTAGAGTTCACGCTCCACATACAGCAAAATTTCTCACATCCTATCCAGAGGGTTGTGAGCAAATGAAGTCTTGCAAAATTAGAAATAAAGAAACCCTTACTTTTCAGCCATGTTGGTGTCCTTCAAAATATGAACATAAATAAACAGAGCTTGCTCATGCTTCCCCATACGACCCAAGAGCAAAGCACGTTCTTCTAGGAGACCTAGTGATAAGCACAAAGGATCAGACAATAGCTACACAGGGAAATGACAATATAAGCTCCATTAGTGACCAGACTAACAGAAGGAACTTGAAACTGTAGTCTGAGCACAGGTTAAAGTCACACTTTGAGTGTACATCTACTTCACACTTGTCTTGGCAACTTTTTATGAATTCTGAAGTAACTTTGGTATATTTTTTACACTTCAGATGTGTTCAGCAATTCAGGCTTATCAAAGAGCTAGACTAAATATTTCAGTTATGGGAGATGCCACAAAGTCTTAGGCCAACAGTTACAGGAAATGTGCAGAGACTGGTAAACTCAGCTATGCCAGTAAAAACATATGCACAAGTATACACACCAGTGGTGTACAACTAGAGATACAGCCACCTTCTCTTTTTCTAGTTAACATGATTCTACAATGAGTAAGGAGGTTTTGCTGTACAATCCATCAAGCTAGGGTTTAATTATCCTATGGAAACTGAACTCACCATCAAAGGGGAAGTCACTAATTAGTCGACTAGGCTCATAGCAGCTAGACTTCTCCAGAAAAAGCAGAAGTTTTTTCCGGTAATCCCCCAAGTCTCCTCCTTCCTCCCCAGCAGGTACTGGAGTTTTATCTATAAGGAAGAAAACAATATACGTTACAGTATTACCCCTGTTTTACTATGCTAGTACACAGAAGATAAACAAGCAAATCACTACCAGGAGGAACCAAATGCTGATGAAGCTGTTACACAGACTGGGATTCTGGTGCACCTGACAAATTACTCAGACTCCTTAAAACACATCAAGTCACTGGGTGAACATTAGACGCAGTTAATTCAAGACCCTTCCTTACCCTTAACACATAGAATTCAGGGAGTAGTAGCTGCCATTCTGCTTAATCATGAACAAAGTGTCACTTGTTCCCTTAAGATCTCTAGGAAGGCAATAAACTAGACTTCCCTACAACCCACAAGTTTTGCTGTTCCAGTTCCTTGATCACTTGGGATACCTTTTCTGGATCTGAACAGGGAAGGCTTAGAGCAATACACTGAGAAGGCTCCCTGTGCTGCCCCATGCCCCTGGTCTTGCCACCAGAAAAGGTTAAACATACCTGCAGGGAACGAACTGAGATATTCTTTCATTAAACCCTGCACTTTCTCACAGTACAGCTGGATTAGACAGTTGTGAAACTCCGCACCAGTTTCCTCCCAGACATGAATTATGTGTTCCTGTAAATACACGATCAGGTTCAGTTACTTCCTCTAGGAAGTAATTTGTTATAAGCAACAGTTCTATCCTTGCCTTTACCAAGCATGACTTCAGGACTGCACATATTTTAATTTTGTTTTCTTTGCACAACTTACAGAAAAGCCAGCATTCTGAGACAGCACCAGGTTCCAACGCCTGGAGGACTAAAGCATTACTTGTAACATGTTGTGCTGAATGTAATGCAGTAGAAGAGATTGAGTACCTTACCAGATAAGGGATAGTCAAGCTTTTAAAATTTTCTATCAAGAAACTGAGCACTTTGTCTCGTGGCAAAGCTTCCACTTCAGGGAGGTCTTCTGTAAATATCTGTTAAACAAAGTTTTATTCACAGAATGGTGATTTTTTAATTTTTTTTTTAAGTGCCACAGAGGCACTGAAGCCCAGCCTATCATCACATATGTCCAAAAAGTACACACAATAAGTATAAAAAAAAATCTGAGCAGTTTATTCCAGTATTCAGAAGCTATCTCATAACTGAAAGGATGAACAAACATCCCCACTTCTGCCTTGGTTAACAGTCTACTTTTACAGGGCCCAATACCTCCCAAATATAGGGAGTCAATTCTATGTCAAAGAGGAGGAAGAAAATAAGAAAGTGACATTTGACAATTAATCAGGCTGTTTACAAAACGCATGACATCAGCAATGTTAAATGTTGTATCAAAGGTTCCTAGCTACTTATGAAAAGGTAAGGTATTCCAAGAATGGAAAAGCATAAGGAAAACTGAAATGCCATCCTACCATATCTACTGCTACTCTTAATCATAGTACTGAGCACACAAAATACACACTATATATTTGATTTAGCATTAATACATGGCTTTTTACGTTGAGTTTTCCTAATTCCATACACTGCACTAAGAATTTCAGTGGCAAGGTGCCCGTTTCAACCATACTTGCCTTAAGACCATCTTCAGGAAAATCTCTTAGCACCCAGACAGAGTAGGAGAATACCAAGTGCAAGTTCTCTGTGCCTGGAATACAAAATTAGGAGTGCTCAATGCTAAAATCCTAAAGATTTAGCTACTCACACAAGCAGATGCTTTCACAGCCAGCAAAGCTTAATGTACAGAAAGAACCCAATTTGGTTGTTTTCCCCACTAGAGTCAAGCAAAACACACATTCCAGACTAAAGCCACAATTTCATTACTTTGCAAATGTGATTTAAAACAGAAACAAGAAGTAACTGAAATACTAAGTGCCACCAAATGCAAACAATTCAGACCAAAACCAAGTTCAGTTTCCTTAATCACATTCCAAAAGTCTTCTCTTACAATTTGTTTTTTTAGGGTAGAAAAAAGCATCATGTAATCCTTCAGTGCATTTCCAGCCTGCCAGTCTAATGACTTCATAACAAGTAGTAAAGCATCACAATACTGAAATAACTGGCTTAGAAACTATAAGACAGGGAATAACTTCTCAGCTTTTAAGAAAATTTAGGACCCATCTCTCTAAAATAATACTTTCATTTGGACAACTTGGTTCACAAAGTTTATAAAACATGTTAGAAAACATGACTTTTTGCTCACCCTACTAGTCAGAATGAACCACTGAGATATTCACTGCCCAAACAATGCAACAATACAGAACCCTGAACAGAATCCTACACCAACTATATAAAGAGGCAGCCATTGTTTGTTTTTCTTCATCTCACAATATCACCAGGTGTAAGTTACTTTTAAAGTATTTAAAACAAGCAGCTTCTTCATCGTAGAAATACTTTAAAAATCAGAAGATGAGGACTGTGAATTAAAACAAATAAAATATCTGTATCTACCTAAACACAGAAAATAAAAACTTCATATAGGATTCTTGGTCTAAGGAAAGGTACTACAAGCCCCAGCAAACAGAAGCTAGACTTTCAGCTGGAAAGCCTAACACTGAAGTTAGACATTCCTTTTGTCAGCAATGGTAAATCATCACTGGAAGAAATCTCAAAATACCATGGCACATTTTGTACCAAAGGATATTTTTATCAGAAATATATTTTCCAAGATACTCAAGTTTCAACAAGACACTGGTGAGCTAATCCTTGAAGTCTGTATTATGCAAGAAACCAGATGAGATGACAAGGATACCCTTCAGCTTGATAGTCTATAGAAAACTGCTGGACAATGGAATAACCAATAATCCCAGCAAAAGTAACACTTTCACAAAACCAATGGTCTCCTTCACACTCACCCAAATGCTGCAGATATTGCACTGTCCTCTCATGACCCTTCAAAGGCGAGTTGGCCTTCTTTGACTGATCCACCAGCACCTGTAATGCTTGCAGAACAATAAAAAGATTAATTCCTTTATAACCTTAAGTATCACTCAAACTTGAACCACAAAAATCGCATTTTTCCTGTTCTGCTACCAGTGGCAAAACAAAGTTCTGTTTTAAATACCCAGAGCAAACAGATAATGAATAAATAAACTATGTAATCACAAGACAGACTCAGAAACAGTGTCTGCAGAATACTGCCTGCTCACTGAAGACAAGTTAAAACTCAATACTGGGAATTACATGCTCCTATCCCTTCTCATCTCTCCACTCATACCTACCTTTCTCATGCAGACCTTTCTTCTCATAGAGTATTATGAGCTCACTGTACTTGTGTGCCTTCTTTAGTACATGCTCACTCTCCTCAATATGGCAGTGATTGTTCTCCAGACGTAGCAATGGTGCAACCAGTGCTACATTTGTCTGCAAGCAGAAAGGGAGCACTTAATAAACATACTTCTAATGTGCATCTCCTAAGGTTACAGTACAAAACATGAGTTGGAAGACAGGAAAAAAAAA